ATCAAAAGTTCGCCATAGCTGCAACTTCGCATACTTCGTTTGTGTTCAACGACCAGACCCCACCTTCATTAATAAAGCTTTCCTCTTTTATTCGCAATATCCAGATTGCAATCTCAGTTTCTTGCTTGTTCTTCGTTTGCTCGCAGGAAATAGACCCTCGTGGTCAGGTTGATCGTGCTCCGGCGTGGTCAATAACCCCCTCCGAAGTTGGTTTAGCGATTGCTAAGGCGCGACGTCTTCGCACGTTCGTAGTCGGATCGTCAAAGTCGACTCCCATAGAAAATGATTGCTATCTCATCAAAACATCGGGACACCTTTGCCTCTATCATGTTCAAAAAAACTGAATTGCAATATTGGGTGCATCCCTCTGGCAAGCAGTTGTGTATGATTGCACATATCGATTGTGTTCATCGAGCATTTCAGTTAATGCTGATACAATGTATACTAGTACTTAGTACTAGTATAGTATGTAAAGATTTTCCAGTTTCCCACTCTTGTTGAGAAAAAAAACTGTTTGCATCTCATATATATTCTCATGCATTTTTAGTTTATTATTCAAAAATCCTACTGGAACCCAGAAAAATAGGAAATACTCTTGTTCAGGAAAACAATTTCATACTCTTGTCCATGCATTTTGTTATTTCCTATTTAGAACTTTTTTTCTTTTTGGCAACCAGGAAAGTGAGGACAAAATAGAGAGGGAAAACAAGACACGATATCATCAACATGTCAGGAGTAAAATTCATGATTTTTTCCAGTGTTGAACAACAACCAACATGTTGCTAGTTGGACCCATGAAATTCTGGTGTGGGAAGGTAATGCATAGAAATTCCAAAAGATCCCCCACATTTTTTTAAAAAATATCATCTAAACTAATTTGCAAATTCAGTCGAACCAACAACAAAATAAACGCATAAGGCAAGGCAACATTCAGGGGAGATAAGATTGTTTCAAACACCTTTGGTTTGTTGAATCCCAGATCATCCGTCCTCCAGGCAAAACAGCTCATGCATGCTTGGTGAACTTGATACACTTACAACTCAGCATAACTAAAACCACTCTGTACCAATGAAGATGTCTACTACTATTACTACTACCATAGGGAGAGTTTGGTCCATAATTGATAAAACTAAGGTGAGAACTCGATAACTTAGTCATGCTTACAAAATGAAAAAGCTTAGAACATCTAACTCAAGCAGATTCGTTTCAATTGTCAAGATGTGGACCCGGAGCGACCGCGACCGGCACACAGGAGCTCCCGCTGGTCCTTGGTGTCCATGTGCTCACCCATGGTGCCGCACTCGAGCTCCATGGTCTCCTTGGTTCCCTTGCCCTCCGTCAACATCTCATCGTGTCCCTTGAGCGTGGCCTTCTCTCGATGAGCTCCTCCCCCCAGGCCGCCTTGAGATCCCCCTCCTCCTCCTCTTCAAGCTCCGTCTTACAGGTCCAAAGCTTCTCCCTTGTACTCCCTCCGTTCCAAAATAGATGACTCAACTTTGTACTAACCTTCTCCACCGCCTCCTCCCGCCTGGTTAGCTCCTCCCTCCCTCTCCATGTGCTCCTTGAGCACCTCGCAAGACTCAACCGCCTGCTGCTTCGCCTGAAGCGCCTCCTTTAACTCCTTGATCCACTCACTCTTCTTATACAGACAGGTTGATCTGCTCGAAGCTAAAAATCTTCTCGTCGAGCTTGAGCTGGCACCAACCGCTCTTAATGTTCATCTTCTGCTTCTTGATCTCACGCTCCTGGCACGAGTTGAGGTACATGGTGATGTGCCTAGGATGCGAATGAAACTAAGGGTGGCGGCGGAGGGAACAATTAAGAACAAAAAATTTGAAAACAAGTTTGTAAATGTGCTTTTCTGTATATATGAACAAAATATTGAAAAATGAAGTCATTTTTCTTTAGCTTCGAACATTTTTGTAAAACGCACTTTTTGAAATTGTCAACAAATTTTGAAAAAAAAAGAAACATGAAAATAAAAATAAAAAACAAAGAGAAAGAGAAAAACACAGAGACAAAAAAAGAAAATAGAAAAAACCGGTCCAAGAACCTTCTAGAAGGTTCCCAAAACCTATAAAAACCGCTGGGAACCCTCTAGAAGATTCCTAAAACCGTAATGTGATACCTATTGCAGATGGGCCAGCCCAATCACTCGCTCGCGTTCGTGTGTGCAATTGCCCGTGACCAGGACCAGGCCCGAGTTCTGGAAGTCGAAGAAGATCTGAAGAGTTTGTAAGCGCAACGCAAAAACCCTTCAGGAGGACCAAAAGAACAAGGCCGCCGAGCTCAAAAGACTGAGCTTGGTGTGCAAAGAGACCCAGAGTCAGGCCCGGGCGGACCGCCAGGAGCTTCATCAAGTGAAGCAAATTGCGGCTGGTAAGCCATACTTACTGCGATGTATCTTTGGTGACATCAGGTTTGCTCAACTGACGCAGATCTAGCACTCCTCAAACGCCTTCATGGACCTTCCGAGGAGTGCGGCGGATGCCGGCCGCCACTACAGCTCCCTTGAAGGAGAAGCCGAGTGGAAGGCCTTTTGGGCCCAATTTCAGGTGACGTCACATCTGCCGCAGTTGAACGACCAGATGAAGCAGTTGATGGAGCTGTATCGTTTGGCAAGGCCGGTGATAGAGGACATCTGGATCAACCTTTGGCCTCAGGAGTCATTGCTGAGTAGCTACTTCGGCCTGGTTCAGCGGCTCCAAGGCGCGAGCCCCCAAGTTCTTCGTTGGAAGCACTCTACCTGTCTAGAGGGTGCGCAACGGGCATATGCGTCTGTGAGGACGCATTATCCCGGAATCAAGGCGGCGCATGTGGCTGCGGGGCCCCTGAAGGGAAGAAGCATACTCCGGGGAGGTACATGGCCGAGGTGCTGGACAGTGCTTGGATCACCGAGACTCAATGTAGAATGACTTGTTATACTAGATGTCTCTTTGGGATGCCGAGGTTTAATTATGTAAAATGACAAGTTATATTTTGGAATGTCCGGATTTAATGTCCGATGTGTTTACTTTGACTCCTGTGTGATCGTTTCTAAATACTGAAAGTGGCCAGTCATCGGCTTCTGCCCTCTTGTATATAATAGAAAGGGTGTGTCTGTAGCACTACACTTAGCTGACGTCTCGGCGCCCGGAGACGGTATGTGTTTAGCGGAAACTAGGCAATCCGACTATTCTGACTTTATAACTTTCACTTAATCATAGAACCTTGACGGTGGG